AATTTATTTTTTTCTAAAATTTAAAAATCATTATAAATACAACTGCAATTTTTAGATGATTTAAATGGATACGATTAGATTAAAATTTATTATTATATTTTACCGATATAATCATCTTTTAGATAAACTGATGTTCTATGTAAATGCACTTTTTGAAAACAAAACACAGAGTTGACGAAAGGTTTTGCGTATTGAAATTATAGTTCTAACGACTCTCTCGTCGTGCAATGTAAAATCCAGTAATAATACTCTGAACACATTATGCCACGTTTATTTTATAACGAATCATATATTATTTCGTTTTTAGAAGTTACATGAAACACATTGTGTTTGCAGTAGTTCCTATCGTGATGTATCTTAAATTAACAATATTTAAGAACACTATTAGAAATGCTTCCTTTACATGTAAATGAAGCTTGTGATTACGAACGAAATTAAAAATAATGAATGATTTAATTGAAAATTAAGTTACAGTAATTATTTAAATAAATGTAATGAACATGTGCATTAAATTTCATAAATATTATCTGTTTTTTTCAGATTTATGATCGTAATTCTTCAACATAGAAGAATATCCCATAACGAAGTTTGCGAGACGGATTTTATTTTTTTGATTTGGTTCCCAGCAAATATTATTGTAGTTACATGATATAAAAAGGTTGTCGTAGTTATGTTTAAAAAAGAAATCTTAGAACTCTCTCTATTTTGCAACTAACATGAAAATCCATCATGAGCTTCTCTCTATAACAAGAAAAACCCCGATATACTTGTGATTGTCTGTGTCTCTTGTTAGTGTAATGTTCCTCTACATCGGGATTCTCGCGCAATAATATTTGATTTCCTCTATCTTGTAGAAGGCGAAGAGGAAAGAGGCATCAACGAGAACGTTCGATTCGTGCACAAAATTCCAAGCTTTGCACCCATCACCTACCTATATTTCACGTTTGCATCCTACTTCGCCATTCTCGACGCTTGTTCCGCGGCTTCCAAATTCGCCCACGCCGTACTCGGAAACACGGTAAGAAAGCGCTGAATAGATGCCAGACAGGCTGCGATATTTTACTACCAACCAAACGGGGCGGAACGCAAAAGAACGCTTGGGATTCTCGTGCACAAGAATGATTAATCTCGGGATTTCGGTTGTAGATTTTCAGGATTGCAGTAGTTTCAGGAGATATATTTGGGATATAACGGTGTGGTTCATCCGAAATAATTATGAAACAAATCCTCGAATTAGAAGAAGAAAACGCAACAATGTTTCAACAATGCATAGCTTGTGTGACAATTGACGTTAAATGAACAGGTGCACAGTTTGTAACATATGATTTATGAAGTGATGAAACAGTATGCAGCTTGTAGAACAATTTCAATATATTAGTCATTTCCACAATGCATCTCAATATATCAAACGTAGTTGAAACTAAGCGGAAAGCTGTGCACAAAAGCATAATAATTACATTAACTTCAGCATCAAAAATGATTCGCCATAATCAATAATCATTTATTGATGTAATAGCAATAGACGGATTTTCATAAATATCATTCATAACAAATTTCGATTTTCATATAACAATCAAACTATGATAATCACATTGAAATGAAAAATAAATACAATGAAATGTGAGAAAAGAAAAAAGATACACACGAAATAACAAGAAAAATTTTCAAATATTGTAAATTAAGTCTTAAGAATTTAAAAATTAGGAATTTTGCACCATGAATTATTCCTACCTATTTACTGGTTTGCTTATTGGTTTTTTGCATTCTTTTGATTCTGTGGCTTCCGCTTCCGAACCACGAGAGTAAGTTACTTGCTTGCATACTAAACAATTACGACGGCGAAGTGGCGACTAATTATTATTAAGACTGCGTCACTTCGACGAACTATTATGCGAGTCGCGTATCGCCGACGTGTCTCAGATTATTGTATCTCAGTTCATCTGGTACTCTTCGTGCGAATGTGCTTGTGTTAAGTTATTAATAAAATTATTATCCATATAAACTTCGAAACGGAATGTAATGTGGATCTCCTTCCAAATATTAGGTCATGTAAATAAAGCAGGGCAAATATCCTTAACTGGCACGAAATATGGCGTTTGTTTCAGCTCTTTGTTTCTTGTTCAAACGTTGTTATCATCTTTTTCACGTAATGGACGATTATATCTTGATTTCATAAAAAATTGCTCTAGAATATTGTCAAATATAGAAGACGCAATTTAATGATTATGAATTATATTTTTCAGAAATTTATTAAGGATATATTTTTTTAACAAAATGAAAAAATTATTTTTTTATATTTTATTTAAAAGTAAAAAATTTGATTTAGAACATGGATCAAAAATTATTTTAATAAGAAGTAGATATGTTTTTAAAAAAATAATTAAAATAACATGAGAAAATTTTTATTTAAATCATAAAATTGTATTATTAAATATAATATTAAACTTTCATATTATATAATATTTATTTTAATTATATAATATTTATTTTTTATACAGAAAGCACACTATGTATCTGGGTAAATTTCTAATGCTACTTTTTGCAGAGATACATACTATACTTCGATTTCTTAAATATACATATAAACATAAGCAAGTGAATGTTAACTTTTTCATTGATTGAAACTTTTTCTTTAATTGACAAAGCGGAAGCATTCTCTCTTTTTATTCTATTCATATTTTCTTGCCACTTATTGTTAATCGCGGTTTCTCATCAGGAAGAGAAATATCAAGAGACTGCACTTCGTCAGGAAATAAGATTTCTAAGACGAGATTAAATAGCTTTCTTCATTTGCCACATGAGCATTCTCATCGGAAACGCGCTTTCATCCATGTGAAGTCTGTGGAAGTTGTCTCGCAGAATATGTCACTGAAAAGCTCATCTGGATCTTGGAATTAAGGATGAAGTTTGTAGATGCTAAAGTTTCACGATAAGGAAAAGCTGAGAGAAATAATTGTTCTTCGACAACAGGCGTTTTGTAATTTCAGACTCCCGAGGATCATGTAGATCCGATTCGATCCTGCAGCTGAATTTTAGAATAGCGAAGATATTATGTATCCTGATATCATTTTGAAATGCATAAAAAATGCGTAAAAAACACATATAATTTTTATATATAGAAATAAAAATTATATACGTTTACAAAATTAAATCATTTAAAATTGCGAAGATAATATTTTTACATTAATCTAAATCAAGTTTTAATTATTGTACCATTTTTTATTTTCCATTTTTCTTGCCAATTAAATCGTACGAAGAAAAAGTATCGTCTAGCAAAAATCATTATACTATATTTATCTTACAGTAATTATTAAAAAATATATAATAAAGGCAAAGGGTTATTAATTTATATCAAAGTAATTATTATAATATATATTATAATTATT